TTCCTTCTTTCCTTCTTTCCTTCCTTTTTAAAAGAAATGCCCTGCTGTGTTGAAATCTAAATGAGCTGAAATTAATTCTGTAGCTCTATCTCACATTTTTTTATTAGCAACTGTCAAACCCTGAATTTTTTTCATGTCAAGGATATTGGCTTACTTTTTTTTCCCCAGAGTGCTATTTGTGTGTCTAAAACCCTTGCAATATTACTTTGGTCTGTAATTTTTGTTCTGAACTATTTTTTATTTTAAAACAAAGATCTGTAATACCTAACTTGGGAAACTAAAAACAGTCACCTAGCATCTTAATACCATTTCCTGGAAATACCCATTTGAAAGAGTTTCTTTTCAGAAATTTCCCATCCATATATTTTCCACTGCGTTGTTTGTTTTTTTGTTACATCTTGCTGTGTTTTATGGTACTGGAGCTTGAACCCAGGAACTCTGAACTGAGCTACATTCTTAATCCTTTTAAAATTTTAAAATTTTGACTCGAGTTCTCACTAAGTCTGCTAAATTGTCCAGACAGGGATCAAACTTGCAATCTTTCTGCCTCAACCGCCTAAATTCCTAAGATTACAGGACTGTGCTACAGTGCCTGACCCCCTAAGTTATTTATATCTGCATTTGTGTGCATATGCATGTGTGTGTAAAACATAGATGCACCTTGATCTGTAACATTGTATGAGCTTTCTATGTCATGCATTTTTAAAAAAATCTCAAATTGCTACATAGTATGTATGTATTCTAATAATATACTACATCATCATTCCAGTCCAGTGAAACATTGAACTTCCATATACTTCTTATTCTATAATTACTATTTTATTTTTTTTTGGCATCTGGAATTGAACTCAGGACCTTGCACTTGTGCCGTTGAGCTAGATCCCCAGCTCTCTATAATTACTATTGCCATGAACATTTATCCATGAGAGGGAATCTTTATTTGATCATTTCTGTTTAGTATAAATTCCTCTTGTAGTCTTTATTCTTAGCGTACTTGCTTTGCATTGTTGAAATATTCCTTAAGCATTGATAGAGTCTAACAATTTTACTTTTATTGCTTCTACCAATTTTAGAAAGAGAGGGGCTGGGGGTTTAGCTCAGCGTCAAAGCGCCTGCCTGGCAAGCGCAAGGTCGTGAGTTTGGTTCCCGGTACCGGAAAAACACCAAAAAAAAAAAAAAAATTTTAGAAAGAGAAGCAGAATAGGGAAGTTTTTAAGTTCAGTTTTCAAAATCTTCTCATCTTTCTGAAGTTCTGTTTCCTTGGACATTGATTGTTAGTGAGGAAGAGTGGTGTTGAGTGGCTCTTGTTCCAAAATTTTCTTTCAAGCTGCTGAAACCAATTTATAACTAAAGTAGCATTACAGTTATGATAAATATATTTCCCTTGCATCTTGATTTAATTACAGTAGAGATTGATTAAACTAATTTGTGAATATGAATGCATATTCACATTAAAAATAATAATTTACACTAAATATTGTTATAAAATGTATTTGACCATTACATGTATCAATTCTAAGTTAAAGTTGTGTGATAATACATTAATATCAGCAGAGCTGAATAAACTTGATTAATAATATGTAAGATTTAATGATGTGGTAAACAATAATAAAAATGTAGGCATCTAATATCAAAGAGGTTAAACATCTCAAGCCTACAAGATAACTGCCTCCTTCCTCACTTGTAAATCCAAAGGTTTGTTTTTCTTATATTTAAATTTTGTGAAAATGGAATCACACAGTTTGAATTTGACTTCCTGTACAGAGTATCTTGTAACTCAGGAATCTATTCAGAAACAGGGCTTTGTTCTTTCACATTGTTCCTGGATTCCCCTCTGCACTACAGATTCTGCATTTTTTCATCTGTAAATGGAGACTTTGCTTACTTCCAGTGTAGGGCTATTAATAGTAGTGCTGCAATGATTTCCCATATAAACGTGTGCTTCCAGAGTGGTGGGGAAGGAAGTTTTAAGCTCTACAATATGATACACTTTGAGAGACCCAACTAGCTTTCCAGACCAGTGATACCAATTTACATTCTCACCGGTAGGCGATGAACCTGAGGTCCAAAGTGACCACTGCCATGTGGTATTTACCATGTTTTATGTAAGTGTAGTTATTGTCCGTGTGTAGTGATAACTCATTGTTTTAATGTGTACTTTCCTGACCCCACCTTTTCGTGAGTGCTTGACATTGGATCGGGTAATTTTTTGAAACTCTCCTTCAACTTTAGCCACTCTGTCCCAACAAAACTCTTCACAAATCGTGTATTAATAGTAATTTTCCCACTCTATCCTATCTTTTCACCTTTAACTTTTCTGATCTCCAACTAAGGTGGCATCATTTGTTTAGGAATGACGATTCCCAACTTGAGCAGCACCCTTTTACCCCTACCTTAAGCATACATTTGCAAGTTAATTTGAAGAATTTTCATATTTGACATATTTTCCAAATTTCTGAGACTTGACTGTCTTAGCCACAGTAGGTTTGTAAATATTTTTATAGTATTGTTTCCTAGGTTTTTTTTTTTTTTACTTCCTTTTCACATTGCATTGACAGTTCTTGTGGCTTTGCATTTTTATATGAATGTTTGCATTCATCTTTCAATTTTTACAAAAATATTTACTGAGATTGCAATTCATGTATGTGTTGGTGGGTAGGGGATTCACTAAAAATACTAAATATTACAACCTAAATATTACAATATTAATATTACTAAATATTATAATATTAATATTGTAATATATAATATTATAGTATTAATCTTATAATAATTACAATATTATTTAAGTTAGTAATTAAAAATTACTAAAAATACTAAAAATTACAGTATTCCTAAAAATACTGAATATTACAACCCAAAAATGTGGTATATCATGTTATTCAGGTTTTAAAATTTCTCTCAATTTTGTCTTACATTGTAAAGAGGCTATAACACATTTTAGTGTGATTATTTCAAGACTTTTTTATTTTAAAGAGAATAATGAAGAAAGAAGAAGAGCCAAATATGAACAGCATAGACAAAAACAAAGCAAAGCAAAAGCAACAGAAATGATACAGGGTTTCAGAACATAATCATAGGAATTCACAGTGGTTGTTATATAACATATTGTTATCTTCAATGAAATTGCTCAGATTACCAGATACAAGATATATTTATTTTAATCCTATTATAAACGGCATACTGTTTCCTCAACTTCATTTTATAAATTTTGTTACTGGTATATTATAAATGCATTTTATATTTAAATTTCAACTGTGAGTCCAGCGATATTATTATGACCTTGATAATTCCCGTATCTTATGCAATGATTCCTTTGCATCTTTCTCTAAAAACTAACATGTAGTTTTTCATAAGGATTTTATATTCCCTTTTCCAGATCTTTGTCATTTTACCTTCTTTTCTTGGCAAGACTTTGAGTGCACAAATGACTATAAAGACAATAATAGATTTGATGTTTAATTGTAGGGCTTTTGAGGATATCTCTTTCCAGATTAGTAAAATTCTCTACTGCCCTGACCTCAGAAGTTTCAGCAACGAATGGATACTGAATTTCATCCAGTTTCTCCTTGATCTAGTGAGATGATCGATGAATTTTTCTCCTTTATTCTATTAATGAGATGAGCTAAAGGAAAAATGTGATAGATCATTTTCTACATTTGTACTGAGGGTAAATGAGATTCTTCATGCAGATTGCTTCAAGCAGTGCTCGGAAGAAAGCAAGCATCCCAGGTGTTTAAGTGTGAAGATTTTTATGGTGTTTTTTGTACTTAGGACTGTAAATGTGGCCAAAGTGGTACAGAGAAGACAGGACAGCAGGGTAGAGATCCAGAGACTCTGTCTTACTCTGTAATGTTTTCTTCCTTGAAGACAAAATAGCAGTGCTTTTTCAAATATAGCTGTGTCATCCAATTTGCAATGTCAATGCTACAAAACTTGAGAATCTTACTAAATTGGGGGTAGGAAAAAGGATCCAGCTACTTTATCATCAAGTAGCAGTTTCATCAATATCCCTACACAGCTAAGCGATGCATGACACATGTGGAACCATGCTTACCTTTATATCTTGCATCTTATCTGCTTACATGAGACAGTCATGATTCCTTGATTTGAAAGTTCTCCAACCTTTGCTTTATGTGACTATTGGTCACGCTACTACTTGTTGATTGGATATACGAATACACACACATAGCCACATGCATTACTTTAAATAATCCAAAGTTAGACATAAAGGTAGAAATACCAGTGCATTTCTCAAATATGGAAACAATTACAAGAACCTTAGGCAGAGAACTGTGTCCGTATTCCTTAGCAAATATCAGGGTTTTATCATGCTACTATCATGCTATTATCATGCTAAATATCATGCTATTATCAAGTTTACTTTCCAGTGAATGCAATTATGCACTTGGGGTAAACAGGATCCATGCAGTTACGGAAAAGTGACCTTGATTTGGGCTTTAAAATTGATTCTGAGGTGATTTGTGTCTGGTGATGAGGACATGATTAGCTGGAATAGTGAATACTCCGGAGTAAAATAAATATTTTTAACAGTGAGTTTATACAGAGAGGATGATTTTAAAAAGGACTATTTCATGTTGGTAATTTTGCTATCTTACTGGCAACAATTCCTTTTACTGTGTGATAATAGAATACACATTTCATTATTTTGGTCTTTCTTGCTTTAGACTCTGTATTTTTACAACATAAATATAAAAAAATCTAGCTCCAACAGTGCAACATTAATGGTATATAAATAGTGTTTTTATTTGTATCATTTTTAATGGTTATATTTTCATCTTTTATTTATTTTGTTTGTTTCAATATGTTTCATCCCTGGTGGCTGAGCACACAGATGTGGATACGGAAAGCCGGCTTTTTATCCCATTAGGGAATGTGGGCTTGAACAATGCTATGTTTAATATTCTAGCCAGAAACTCAGTCCCATAGTCATCACCTAAAGTACTAACTCTCAGACTTTTAATAATTGGCAAGATGAAGCCAAAGACAAAATATTTGTGCAACTGAGTATCATGGAAGGAAATACCTCTGGGTTAATTCACCAAAGTGCAGGAATGGCAGAAACCTCATGAAGCCTGAGAAAATGAATTCTTCTTTAGAGCCTCCAGAAGAGGATACAGCCTGGCAACACCTTCATTGTAGCCAAGTGAGATTTGTTTTGGTCCACTCACCTCTAGAACATAACACAGTGATATTCCTCCAGGCAATGACATTTGTGTTCAATTGTCACAGTGGCCATAGAAAGCAAGTATACAGTACTATGTGATTTAAAACTTGTACCAAGTGTAGTGTACTGCCCTTATCGGTACCCTTATTTTTAGACAAGGGAAAGGAGACCGAATGAGATTCCATGACTCATTTGTTCAAGTCCACATTCCTTACAGGTTGTGCATATGCCTCCAAGTTCTGCCACCTGTATCCTGACATCCTGGATTTAGGGGCAGAATCAAGAATGTAGTTTTATAAGCGTTGATTTTGAAAAGACTTTACAGCAGATAGTACGTTAGGAATACCAGCAGATAATCAGGGGAGTCGCTGTGGTGGATGGACGTAGAAATGTGAGTGGTCAGTAAGAACGTAATTTTAATTTTTTTGTTTTTTTAAAAAGAGTAGTGAAAAAAGGAGCAATAGCAAAATACCAACATCACATAAACAGAATAAAGTGCGGGAATTAAAAATGATACAGGGTTTCAAACCAAATGATAGGAATTAACAGTGATTGTTATATTACATATTGTTATCTTCCTACAAAGTTGCTCAGATTACCAGATGTAAGAATAGAAGATTGTTCAAACCATTAAAGAGAATAAAAAAATAATTATTACATAAAACTTTAGAGATAATACAGAGTTTCACTAGACAAGATGGTAGGAACTCACCAATGGTTGTTCTTTGCATATTGTTGTTTTCAAATCATTTGCTCAGATTGCCAGATATAAGCATGTAAAATTGGTTAAAGGCACAAGAAGGAGTGAAATTCTGCACGGAAGTGACATGGAGAGAGTAGAACTCCAGCACAGTGGCTTATAGGGTAGAGGGAAGACATGAACCTAAAAGGATCATCTCCTGTGCCATTCTTGGTGAATCTTCCAAGGAAAACATAATGACATTGTAAAACTTGCAAAGGATGCTGAGAATCCATAGGATCCTCACATGGAGCCAGGCTGGTCTTATTACAGCAAACTGAAGTCCCTCAGCTATTGTTGACAGAAGGACATCAGTCACACCTTGACCCTGTCTTGGAACCTTGACACTTCTGGTATTCTTTCCTGTAGCTGCTTAACATCATAACTTCAGGCTGCCCACAGCAGTTGCAATGCAGTGAAATAAAATAGAATTAAGAATTTATTTCTGCAGCACCACTGGTGACATTGCAAAGACTTTCTAAGCACAGGCAACCAGTGGTGACCGCATGTAGTATAATTCAGTCATCACAGACTCCAGACCCCTTTCCTGTCCTTACTCTCAATATAAGGTACCTATGGAGCACTGTAACCCTTACCTGCCTTCTGTCCATGTCTACCTGTTCTCTTCTTACTGGACAGACATCTTATTCATCTATTTTGTTTATTACCTATTTAGTTCCATTGATTTGTAGGGTTCAAGATGGCAGCTTCTTGTGTGGTGCTATTTCGTTCCCACTGAGGGGGAGAATATGCATGTATGCACTGAGGGACTTCAGTCTGATGTACAACACATAATTCTTGTCTTAAAAAGTCTTGATTTCTGTGATATAAAAATGAAGACCCCCTAGTTAGCAATTTCCCTTTTAACTAAACATCGTGGGTGCCTACTTTATATCTGTTTACTTTCACAGATTTACAATTCTTCTTTTCTGGTTCCAAATGGCTCAGAGCAAGTTACACTGGATCAACCCAATTACATCAAAGAGTTTTTCTCTCTTTCTGAAAACCCCCATCAAGCACTTGATGTGAACATTTGGGACAACATGTTAATCACCGGCAAAGCAGAGCTATTTTACACCCCTGGACTCAGCAGGGTGATGAATAAATTCGAGGCTGTCAGAGCACCTTTTCCCACACCCCATGAGTTGCCTGTCTGTCATTTTCTCATTTTTCACAATTTATTGTCCAAAATAAAGAAATGAACAGAAAGTACACTGCTCTGCCCAAACATGAAATTAAGCAAAGGTTCACCATTGTTGCCTGTGACTTGGAACCCAGGGATGAGAGATAAAGAGATGCGATAATCTATGCATGGAAAGCTAGGCATCCTGGCTCTTCTGATAGGAGAATTTTGTTACAATAGTACTTATAGTTGAAGTAAATATTTGCAGCTAATTTTTCAGGTTGGAAGAAATTGTTTTGGTCTTATGTGAGTCCAGTGCTTTATCACCTTTATTTTTTTTTAAAAAAAGGCATGTCTAAAGATTCTCCCCTAAAACAGGAAAGGGAAGAGTTGCTCCTACCACCTCTCTTATAGGGTTTTGCTAGGTTCATCTCGATAATCATAACATACTTGGAATCATTTCATTATTAATGTACTATTTATCTTTCTTTTCTACTTAATATTGACATTTCAACAGAAGCTTTCCTTTGGTACCTTCTCCTTTTTCTCCACTTACTCTGGTGGTTTTAACTAATCAGAATTTTCCCAAAGCTGTGCGGCTCTTTTGGCTTATTTACACATTTTTAAAATTTCTTATAGACCTTTGTGTTCTCTGTTTCTCTTCATTTGATTTTAAAACATCACATTGTATGATATTGTGGTTCAGATGTTGAATGTCCCCCGCAAAGGCCGATGTCTTATGGCATGTTCACCAGCCTATGGGAGACGGTGCAACCATTAAGAGGTGGAGCCTAGTGGGAGGAAGTTAGGTCTTTGGAGATGTGAGGAAAACTTTCCTCTCTTTGGCTTCTCACCCACTAGGAAAGTGGTTTTGTTCCACCATATACTCCCCCTGTGATAGGCTACTTCCCCAGAGGACTAAAAGCTGTGTCCACTCACTCGTGGACTGGAGCTTCTTGTCACTATAAGCTGATCATTTCAGATCTTTATGCATAAGATTAAACAACATTCATGGGATGTAACTTCCAGGCTGTTTTGTGTTCCTGTGTTTTGACATTATAGATCCCAGTGTCAACCGATATCACGTGCAGTGGCTTCCGGAAGTGTGCACTCACAACAGGACAGCCGGAGCAGAGATGTCCTCGGGCGTGACCCATGTAAGGAGATGATTGTATCTTCTGACTGAGTAGTTTCTAGGTGCATGAGATGTGTGCACTCATTGGACAGAGGAATGTGCAAAGGACTGATGTCACATGGGTAACTCACTCTCACAAGCAAGCTGTTAAAGCATGACTTGATGAAAGCTGAGAGTCTAATGGTCATGACACCCACTCATGCTTTTCTTCCATTTTTCTTCTTTATTAATACATTTTGCCGCCAACAGAGGGTATGTTCTAAAACACAGATACTGAAGACATGGTGCTTAAGGAACTGGTAGGTCAATGAGAAAATCCTTAATGAGTATCTGTGTGCTTCACGTAACTAGAACAACCCTCTGAATTTCTTCCTGAGTTTGGACATGGTCCTGTAACTTAATGACACTATTTTACCTGAATATTTCTACAAGATGCAGTCCTTCTACACATCTGTTTGCCATGTCCCTGCCGCCAACATATTTACTTAGTGAACTTACTACTGGACAACACACTCATCTTTTTTTTTTTTAAAGAGAGTAGAAAAAAAAAAGAACAATACGAAAATACTAACATCACAGACAAAAACAAAACATAGCAAAAACATTAAAAATGATACAGGGTTTCAAATGTTATACTTCCTATTGTTATCTTCAACAAAGTTGCTTAGATTACCAGATGTAAGAATGCAAGATTGAGCAAACCATTAAAGAGAATAAAAAAAATTAAATAAATAATAATTTAAAAAAGCATTAGAGATGATACAGAGTTTCACTAGACAAGATGATAGGAATTCAATGGTTGTTCTATTGCATACTGTTGTCTTCAAATCTGTTGCTCAGATTACCAGATATAAGCATGCAAACTTGGTAAAAATAAAAAAAAAAAATGAAGCATTAACTGTTCCTTTCAATAAACCACTAGACAACACACTCATCTTTTGTCTTTTAACTTTAAAAGAATATCAGGCTCTTTGGGATAACAATTTTATCAATATCACATCAAACATTTCACATAGTTGGGAATTAACACATGAGTTAGAGATTAGAATCTACAAACCAATTCAAATATTTAAGAAAGCATCTTATTCTACAACACGTTGATAGCAATTTACATATAATCTATTAGGATAGTTTAAGAATTAAAAATAGAAAAGACGTGGCCCAAAAGGTTATATTTTCATCTGTTAAATGTCATGAGACCATTCAGCTTCTCAGTATTCTCCAACCAATGCAACAATTCTAGAATCGTGTCTGATCACATAACTTCAGGATGAGGTAAAACAAGGGGCTAGATTTCCAGGAATTTGTAGCTTTTTAAAAATATACATGGTTCATTTCAACCTATGTTCATCAATGATCAATGTTTTTTCTTTAAGTTTTTCCCACAACTTGTGACCATCTAGTGCATTCTTTATAAAATGACGCTATTTGAAAGTACAGAAATAAGCAAACAAACAGTGCCTTGGGACTGGGTTTTTTTTTTTTTTTTTTTGCAACCACTCAGTGCTAAACTTATTATTTTTAGGAACTCAGACCAGGGTAACTTCACCAAGCATATATGATCAATCTCGTAGAAATAAGAATCAAAACCCATATCTTTTCATTACAAAATGGCTTTCAGACACTGTAGTTTGCTCTCCTGCTACAACTAAGCCTCCGCTATTTTACCTCCTGTTGCCTTCTGCAGTGCAGAAGGACAAGCTTGAAACACCTGTGAGGCAGAAGCTTTACTGGCTAACCCTAGCTCACAATATACTTGCATAATGCACACAGATTCCTTCTTAGAGAAAAGCAATTCAGGTTCCCAAAGAGGCACAGCAGGCTGGGGTTGTCCATATCGAGTTGCTTCCTGTTCATGTTTTGGTGCTAATCGTAGTACCAAAGGGCCAGCACGCTAGGCACTCACTCCTCATCCTCCTTGTATATTTCATGCCATGCACCTACAGAAATTCTTATTACCCAGTAAAGTCTTGAGCTTCACCTTTTAATTTTTGCTTCATGGCTTTTCCCTCACCCCCATCCCCCACCCCCACTGTCTGGCAAGAAACCTGATTCTTTCCCTAAAGGATAGCAGACAAGGATATTCCATCTGTACCTTTTATACACACATTAAATGCAAAAGAGTATGCATAAGCCTAACTGACCAGCCAGATGTAAAAAAATCATAGCTGCAAACTTGCACTTACGGTGAGTGCCACCAATCACCCTTGGAGGCTGCCTTAATACTCTGAGGTTCTGGCAGTCTAGCCGGTTTCTCATATTTATATTTAAATCAGGAAGCAGTAACAGCACAGCAGAAAGGAAAAAAATGTTGCTAAAGGGTATCATTTTTTAACAGAGAAACTTACATATAATCTAAGCCTGGGTTATTTTTTTTTAACAAAAAAGAAAATTAAAATTGTATTGATAGCTTTACACTGCCAATCCCAAAATGCTTGCTGCCAGTGTGAAGTTCTAGGCTTTAATACAGAACCATCATAGTGCTGCTGAATTCTAGAGGATGTGTCCCACAGCCGTGGGAAGGTTTCAGCATCGTAATTCATCAAAGCGTGGACAGGGCGTTCTTTGTATTTTTTATGAGATCCACATTGTCTGTGCCAGGTGTATAGAAAAAGATCCTGGCTGGGGTGTGATTTCAATTCCTGCCAGTGTTTTACCCCTAATGAGATTTAGGATTGATTGCTAGCATATTCTGTTTTTCTCGCTCTAGGAAAATTATATAATTCTTCAAGATCTGTCATTTTCCTGCAAATATAAGGTGACTGTCCAACCGATAAGCCCAAAGGGTCTCTCAAAGGCAGAAGCCATTTTTTTTACTACCCCGCCATGCTCCACTTTGAAGGGAAAAACCCAGAAGCACATCAGTTGCCCTGGGGATACAGGTATGTTCAGCCCTGAAGAATCTGCACGTCCGGGTCTAAGATATCAGTGACACTTCGATACACATTCACAAACTGTATTTCTACAAGACTCCAAAACCCCAAAGCAACTCCTCTTCCTCAGTTCTACTATAGCAAGAATAATCGAAGTACCAGGTTAATGTTCAAATTAACAATTTTAATACAGTGAGACACAATGCTGTTAACCTCCCTCAAAATCATTCCCTTTCCTTGAACACACTTATCCTGTCATTTTTGCTGCCTTCTGTAGCAGTTCTGAAGTCCTCTTTCATGAGCTGTTTCCAGAACTACCGTGAATGCTGCTACTGAGTGCCATCCGACGGAATGGCGGGCTCATAAAAACATTTTGTGGTATGTCCGCATCCACTGTATTCCCTGGCTCTGGCTCCTTGTGGCTTCTGACTCTTCCACAAAGTCAAAATGAACATGGAAGGTAAACATTTTGAATCCATTCAGGACATTCAGGCAGCCGTGACAGCACATTTAAGACCCGCATGAAAGAGGACCTCCAGAACTGCTTCAGAAAATGGCAAGAATGATTGGATAGGTGTGTTCAAAGTGAGAGGGAATATTTTCAGTGGGCTTAATGGCTCAGTGTCGTTTGCCGTAATATATTTTTTTTTGATGTAAATATTCATTATACTTTTGGTCACATCTCACAGTGGCTTAATATGTAGGGAACAGGTTAGGAATGCGTGTATGATTTTATAATCTTAGCAGCATTGGAATGGTGCCCTTTGTTGACTGTATTAACCCATTAGACATGAGGGCAGGTGGTTACATACTCATTGCCTGTGATGTACTTCACAGGCAATTCTTTCATACATAGCCAGCCCTTTGCTGTGGGAAGGTCTCCCTATCAACTCACCAAATCATGTCCACCTGCCTTCCAGCCCATTCTGCCAAAGCACTGCAGCCACCTCTGTAAGTCTCCATACATGGAACTCTCAGATCCTTCCATGCATCCTCCTAGATCTACCCTTCTCACCATAGTGATTACTGTTGCTAAGAAATGGCTCCGCCTTGCCCGAGGTTAACTGTCTCTCCTTCTTCTATCCCCAAAGCAGAGTTCTAGAAATAATCTTCAAAGGATAAGTGTCTAGCACAAAGCTGAAGTGGTAACAACTCCTCCTTAACCTCTCCCCATAGTGAACAGGGCGCTAGCCAAAACCCATGTCTAAAAGTGGGGTCAGATGATTCCCATGGAAAGGGCAGCCACAAATTCCTGTAATGAGTAGATGGACACTTGCTCCAGGAAGCTGACCCTGGTTCCTTTTCTTATATCCCCACAGGTCACGTCCTCTCCAAAGTGCTGGCCAAGCCGGAGAACCTTTCTGCTGCATTCCTCGTGCAAGACATGAACATCACCGGCCACTTTTCTTGGAAGATGACCAAAGCCAACCTCTATCAGCCCATGACCGGGTTCCAAGTGACTTGGGCTGAAGTCACCACAGAGAGCAGACAGAACAGCTTGCCCAACAGCATCATCTCCCAGTCGCAGATACTGCCCTCCGTAGGTGGAACTTGTTTCCTCTCTCCCTGTCCTTGGAACCCGTGGCTCCCTTTCACAGGCAGGCCATCAGACTGGGCTGTCTCCACCATGATGTCTGCTGTATGGGTTGAGTCACACTTCTGCTGTTAGGATTATAAAATAATGCACACGTTCCCAATCTGTTCCCTACAAAATGAGCCACTGAGATGTGACCAGTGTCTTCTGAGCAGGGCATTTTGTAAGCATTAACACATTGCAAGTACTGTTGTGGCTGTAGAAATTAGCATGGACCGGGCCATCATCCTGTTGCATTTTGACTAGTAAAGCCTACTCCTACAGACCTTATTACAACCGCCTTACATGCAAGGGACTTTGTCTTTTTCTTCTATCTTTGTGAACCCTGTGTCCTTCTGGTCCAAGTGGACATGCCCTGTTTGAAGTGTTAAATTGGAGAGAAACAGCTCAAAGGAACTTTGTATTTGTCTTTATTTCTCCCTTCAAATTTGGCTACAGCCCACATGAATTGGCCAGTCTTCCAAACCACTTAATTCCTTGGCTTGAAAAAAAAATCATGTGTGGGCTTTTACTCACTCTAAAAACCTTCTTAGAATATCCACCTCTTGCTCAAAAATCTGAAAAGAAGGAAAAGAAAAAAAAACTTAAATCCTGGACGGAAATGTTCCATGGAATGAGAAACTAGTTATTTTATGAATGTACAAGGTTTTATTGAGTTTCAAGGAGAATGTTGTTGGCATAAAAATAAACATTTTCAGTTATGGGCCTTGACAGATAGGTTGTGTTTTAAGGAGAACAGTTCCTCATTCACTGAAATTTGGACCATCAAGAATTCACATCACAAGATGTGGAGCTGAGAAGGGTAAGCCATGGGAAAATCTCATGTTAAGGCATAAAAATAAGTAAATGAAAGATGAAATCCCAGCAGTAAGCACTGAGAACCGGCTCCTTGGCCTATTTTAACTCTGCCAAGCACCGCGGACTGCCAAGCTTTGAGCTAACGTGCTAAGGAGCCGTGTGGTGGGCAGAGCCAGGAAACCTGCAGGAATTACGCTACAAATGAAGCAGTTGTCCATACAAGGTCATTAATGAGAACCCCATCTCTGTCTATCCTCAGGATCACCACGTGCTCACCGTGCCCAACCTGAGGCCCTCCACCCTGTATCGCCTGGAAGTCCAAGTGCTGACCACAGGCGGGGAGGGCCCGGCCACCATCAGGACGTTCCGGACCCCTGACCTCCCTCCCTCTGCCATGCACCGTGAGTAGCACCTTGGAGGGTTAAGGGGCCCAGCCGGGCCTGGTGCGTGGGGAGGGAAGTCTTGGTCACTCATGCATTTTTAACTACTTTTCTCAAAAGCTGTCTGGTTGCTGTTTGCTTAGTTCCTTTTGCTCCCTCCCCCTCCCTCCCTCCCTTCCTTCCCTCCCTTCCTCCCTCCCTTCCTCCCTTCCTTCCTTCCTTCCTTCCTTCCTACCTTCCTACCTTCCACCCTCTCTCCTACCATCCCTCCTTCCTTCTTTCTTCCTTCCTTCCACCCTCCCTCCTTTCCTCCTTCCTTCTTTCCTTCCTTCCATCCATCCTTCCTTCTTTGCTTCCTCCTTCCCTCCCTCCTTTCCTTCCTTCCTCCCTCCTTACCTCTCTCTCCCTTTCTCCCTTGCTTCTTTCCCTCCTTCTTCTTTCCTTTACCCCTTCCTTTACCCTCCCATTCCTTCTTTCTTCCCTTCTCTTTCCCTTTGCCTTGCCTTGCCTTCCCTTCCCTTTTCTTCCTTGCATTTATTTCCTTCATAGTAGACGCTCTTCCCTTATATTTTAGTCACATAAATATAGGAATAAATCTAGAGTTTCATGTCAGTTTGCATTTTTTAATTGAAGACTTTTAAGTATGACAGTATCTGAAATGATATGCAATAGTGCTTATTTTCTTATTACATAGATTTTATTGTCATACATAACATGAATTTTCCTATATTTCCAATATAACATATCAAAATCCAGCTACTTAATCAAGGAAAAGCAAATCAAATAAAATTGAAAAAAATATGGTCACCTACTCTTTCAAAGCAAGTTGCTTCTTGTTGATTTTTATGGTATGCATCATATTAAATTTTTTCAGCATGAGCTTAAAACGCCGTGTCTCAAGACTTGTGTATTGGTGAGAAAATTAAAAATTAGTCCTAACTCTGATTTTTTAAAAATAATGGATCAAACTTACCTCTATAACATGATCTAATTATGATATATAGAAAAGCAAAATCTATCACAATGGGAGAATTTAATGGCCCCTTATGTTCGTAGGAGTTTGTGTTAGTTTTTTCATCACTGAGATACGACACTCACAGTTTAAAGGAGGAGACATTGAATCTGACTCACTATTTCAGAGGTTTTAGTCCGTGGTCAGTTGGGTCCAAGGCAGAAACATGGTAGAAGGGTGGGCAGGGAAGACAGAGCAAAAATGCTTGGATCATGATGGCCGGGAAGCAGAGGCCAACAGTGCCAGGAGGGAAGGAGGAAGGGACCAGATATAATACCCAAAGTCCTATTTCCATGACCCACCCAAAAGCGTGGTCCAGCAGTCCCTTGGGTAGGTTCCAAGCCAATCAAGTTGGTATAATCAAGATTAAGCACCACGGAACTGGAAGAAATGCCTTTCTTAAATACTATTTATTAAACTTGCTAATTTAAAAATTTTTTTTTAAAGAAAATAAAAGGATCATAGTTTGCTTAAAGGATGATGATCTTGTGTTCTCTCTCTTGTTTGGGAGAAGGAGCAAAGAAAAAACATATACTGGGAAAGGAGAGAGTCAGAAGAGAGGGAGAGAAAGAATGAAGGAATATGTGTTTGCACGAGCAGATGGCAGAGTAGCAAAGATCATATCCTGCTTTAGGAAGGAACGTTTGACCAGGTCTAACGCTATCGCTACAAATAAACAGGGTCCTCCTTTTTGTTCAAGGGATAAACTGTAGAACTGCCGGCTTTTGTCCCATTTTAGGACCCCATCCGAAACATCATCATACACATCATTACAAGCCATCTCCAGAAAGATACTAAACCAGTCCCTGCCTGTCTCAACATTGTCCGGATGTGCACGCTTGTTGAACTTCAGCTTCAAGACATGCGTCCCTCTACAACGGTAGGGACTTCTCAGACACTTAGCACAGTAAGCATTTCTGCCAATCACAGATGCATCTGGGAATGTTTGATAAGTCACCACCCAGTACAGATGGACACCAGTTCCCTAACAAAGAGGAGAAGAATGAAGAAGATGCTGTGAACTCTGAATTTCCTTTCTGTCTGTGGTTTTGCTAATTTCTTTGGAATTACTGCAGAACTGAGATTTCCTTGAATTTGGAGCAGCAAGGTCTTACAACAGAGTAGTGTAACAAATACAGAGTTTATATGCATACTAAATATACGTTTAATCAATAAAACATATTTTTATTAAATTATTGTTTTGGTTTGCAAAGTCAACTAAGATTAGATGGACTTTGGGTGCTTTTCCTTCACTCTTTAATGAAGTCTGTTTATCATGAGTGATTTTTTAAAATGGAAATTTATGATATGAACTATACCCATGAAGTTTAATCTAAAAAAAAAAAGTTGCCTATTTAAGCACTCTCAGCTTCTTTTCTTTTTTTTTTGGTTTTTCTCCGGTACCGGGAACCAAACTCACGACCTTGCACTTGCTAGGCAGGCGCTTTTGCCACTGAGCTAAATCCCCAGCCCCTCTCAGCTTCTTTTCATATAAAGGAAAACAGAAGCTCAGTCAATCATTTATTATCTACAAGACACCCAAAACTCTAGGTACTCAGTGCATTAGGTGCTAACCAGATTTTGCTTTTTAGAAATGGAAATTCTTTTCTGGGGATACCTTTAAATGCTTCGTCCAATTTGAGAGGTTTTCCTGATCTGTTACATTACTTATAGTCTTCCTCACTGCAGAAAACAGCTGTTGATGCGTTTTATTTTGCCATCTGAAAATTCACAAAGCTGCCTGCTTCAAGTGAAGAATCACAGCCACTGAGCATTTCAAATCTTTACAATGATTTGTTTTTTCTTAATCTGAGGAAGCTATTTGCATAATATTATATTCTCAGTAATATAAAAGCAAAAGGACTTTGATTTTTTAAAAAGGATGATTATCTTCCTTTAATTCCAACTTACTTTCAAATCTACTCAATTTTATTGTTTGGAAGATTCCTTGTTTTCCACTCTACCCCAAGTAGCTTGAGCTCCAATCAAAATGTGTTATCAGTACATGGTACTAAAATGTGTTCTGGGGCAACCTGAACACAGAAATGTTCAGTTTCATCTAGTTATTTTTTTTCTCTTGAGAGATTGCACATATATATGGTTTTAAATATGCATAGATATGTGTCTGTACACTTATAACTGTGTGTATGTATATACATATGTACACACAAATATATATGCACATATTCATATACACACAGGGACACTTACATATGTGGGTATGAATCACTAAAGAAATTGTTTCTGTATTTTACTGGTAGTGAGTGGAGATAGTCATTCCAAAATGGATAAAGATAATATATTTTCCCCTTCCACGTGAATTCCATGAGAAAAGCGTTGTTTATTAAAGTTTATCACCATAAAAGAAAAGCTTCTACATTCTGTTATCTACGCAAATACAGCAAGGAGAAAACCAGTTAGGTCATTTCTAGCTTTGAACGAGAGGACCTTCTCCTCCTCTCCCTCCTCTTCCTTTCACTGTCCCTGGGAGGCAGGCAGATGACTGACCATTCCTGAGAACAGTGGTCCCATTTGAACTCAGGGACGCCCTGAGCCCATCCAGTAGTGTTCAAGGAAAGACAGGTGGAAAATGAGACAGGGAGAAGCTCCTTTTGTCATTATATTGGCGCAGATCTTTAAGAGGCACAGTCTAGCTATTGAAAACTCTGTCCTGTATATTATATAGGAAATGGAAAATGGTGCAACTTTTAGAATGGAAATCTGTGTGCATGCTGAATGGCTTTCTGCAGGCATCACTCTGGGTTGGATGAACTGAGCACATAGTGTTCTCAAATACCTGGTTCATCAAACCCAGCCCCCAAACACAACCATAACACTGTAGAGATCTAAAACTATGATCATTCCAGTGCCATCCACAGCCTTTGAATTTCAAAACCTTAAAATTTCAAAAATTACAACTTCTTAGTATTGGCTGTGTGTTTTATCTTTTACCTTAATTTGTCATAAATAAATCTAAATGTGCCCATGGGGTTTTGTACTATTGCCTAGCTCAAAGGCAGGATATAAAATATTATTAAATTATGTTATAAATTTAACTTTAACTTTACAGCTTTATAAAATTTATGTTTCTTTTTTCTGGGTAAATGACACTGCTGAAATATTAGTTCAGATATGGATCTGAAGCTTTTATCACCCATAAGAAAATCCAAAACAGCTTCTATGAGCATCTAATTTGGATAAAATAATGAAAAACTTTTTAGCGTTCTTAGATGAAAACTGCCATTAATGAGATAAGAAACATGTTTCCATCTTGAATTTTGATAATCTCTAATAATAATCAAATGATAAAAATGTAATTATAATTTTTTGAAATTTAGACATGCGAGTACCATTTTTCATAAAGCACCTTTGGTTCTGCATTCTCTCTTATATTTGATTGAAATAGACGCATTTTTCTCACAAAATATATGCAGAGGTTGCACTGACTCTTCAAAACATTGAGCTCATTGAAAATGTTGTCATCAAAAGCAGATGGCTAACTTTCCATACACTACAGTTGTATGCATTATTCTTACTCTTGCTGCTTACCCCTTACAATGAATTTTTCTGTGCTTTTCTCTTTTCCTAAGAAGAACTCCACAGAATGACTTTCACAAATCAACATATAGCCATTCGATCGTTCATTGCTTAATAGCATATATTATAGACAGGAAGCTTACGACGCATGACTTTTGAAAACCGATTTCTTAAATAATTCTTAGAGATTCAAAATACATCTCAAGTCTACAAACCAAAAAGATTGCATAACTAGCTCCAGGGAACAGGATATATCAACTTCAGCATTTTAACTTGAGGGCTAGATTGTTCATTTTGTGGGAGTCTGGGCATTGTGGGAGACTCATCAGCATCCTGAGACCTCTGCCCACTTACTACCCCTCCCCAAATGGTGGGAACAAAAAAATAATGTCCCCAGACATTTCTCCCTGGCCCAAGGAAATGGGCATCTCCAGCTAAGAGCCAATGCAGTAGAGTAATTCTATTGAACAGAGGAAAATTGGCCTTTGAAAAGGAACCAGCCCTGGAAAAGTCCCAGCCAACACCTGAATACACTTGATTTCCAGGACGTTACTTTTATCTTTTATGTCCACTGAAAAACTTGATATCACTCTCCCTGAAAGACTGAATTTCATCTTGTCTCTGATTCACGCCAGCAGAAGTATGTCAGCCCTATCTAGTAGCAAGTGCCATTTGTGAAAACAACTTATTTATTTCATGCTCTTTCTTACACTGTGACCATGAGCTCCTTGAGTTTCACTATTTCCGTGATTCCAAACTATGCTACATCTTGTTTAGTCAACATTCACGCTATAACCTGCACTCAAGGGCAAAGTGTCTGCATGTACTTCCAAATTCATTTTAAGATATAAACAAATCCTTGAAGGTGTCGCGTCTTATCTATGGTGTTGCATGGCCATACAGTTTCATGCGAGGTGTGCACTCCCGATTGTCTTACTGCTACTGAATATTAGCAACTTATACGATTTACAGAGTGATTAACAGAGGTCTATATAAAGTTATTATTTTTTTCCTTTACTTAAATATATTGTAGTGTGCAGATAAGAGAACTGGTACTTTCTCATCCAAATGATCTGTAGAAACCATGTCTCTTCTTGTGCTCATTTAAAGTCAATATTTATTTATGTATGTAATAAAAAGTCTGATTTCTGTGTATGTCTGTCATGTTATTTAGAGAGAAGTAATCTTGTAAAAAAATTTTTGTAAAAATAAACCCAGAAAAGTATTGTAAATAGCCTGATACTCTGTGACTCATTATTTTCATGTTAGAGTTTGTACATACTGATTCAGTAATAAAGTATCTTTAAACCTGTCCAACAAGTTGGCTCACTTATTTCTTAAAGAAACACTTCTTCTTTCATTTAAGAAGAGAAATTGAGAGTTTCCTATGCGACTAGGCAGATTCAAAATACTTGACTTTCTCTGAGGGCATGAATGGAATTTGAGGTCTGGTCAGTGTGAACAAAGCAGCTCTTCAAGGACCTGCAACCTTCAGTTGCTTCTTCCTGCCTCGGGATTCCATAATGCAATGCTGGTGAGCACCTGCCCCAGTGTCTGCTTTTTATCAGACCATCTGATGAAGAAGGGTGGCAGGCTCCAATATCTAAGACCACCGAGGGTTCTTCATCCCCACTTTGATGTTCAGTATTTGCCCATGGGTGAAGTGTGCTTTTCTATCAAGTGAAAAATGAAATATTATCTCAGGGAATCTGGCTCTTTTCTTTTTTTCTTCTATGAAGTCACTGATGTATAAATTGATCCATTTATCCAGCAGATATATTCCCAGTGCATACTGTGTACCTGGTCTGGTTTGAACAGAGGGGCATTGATAAAGAAACAAGAGCTCTGTGTCTCTGTGGATTCTTCAGTCTAGTAGAAAATAACAGCAAGAAATAAGGACAAACCTGAGAAAGCAGGTGATGGTAGGGACTGTGGTCAGAAGAAAATGTGGCACCGTGCTATGTGAAGCTCCTGTAAGATGAGGCGGTCTGTCAACACCACACCCGCTATGATAACTCAGCTCAGCCCTCAACCCCTGAGTTCTGGGCAGAGAGGATGGTGCATCCACAGAGATGAGGAGCATAGTGGCAGGAGGTCAGACAAGGACTTGGGGAGAGATCTGGGGTCACGTGACTGTGTAGTAGAATTCTGAATGATGTGTAGGCGGAGCCTACAGAAGACAAATCTGGAAGCAGAAGATCAAGTAGAAGGCGGTGGTCTCAATTCAGGTAAAGGCAAGGAGATTAACACAGTGGTCAGAAAGAGAAAGACCCAAAAGATTTAGGACGTGTTGGAAGTTGAACTGACAAAATATATTAAATGTGGAGGTCAGCCAAAGGCAGCAAGAAAACTGCCTCTTAGGGTTTAGCTGGGCTACCTGTTTTCTGAAGTAATTCATCACTTTTTCATATTGTAATCTATTCTTAAAAGTTATAATTTTTTTTCCCAGCAAAAGTCACTTAAAAGTTTGTGTTCTGATCCTGCTTAACCTATCACATTACATATGGAGATATTATTTTAATCAATCTTAGTAATTTTCAAACATGGGAGATAAATTCTTTGAAAATAATCTCAAAAATTATACCTATGGTCTAGCCAAAGTGGCACACACCTGTATTTGCAGCACTTAGGCAGGCAGGATGATGGGTTAAAGGTC